AGTGTTTTTACATTCACTACATCTACTACTACTTGCATATGAGATCAACCAGTCAATTACGTTCAGTTTAACAAAAATAAATAAATAAATAAATAAATAAATAATAAAAAACACACCGGCATTCGTCTACTGTATTATCACACGTGCAGCAAGGCAAGCCCTTTCCAGTGGTCTCCGCTCCACACCAATTGCCGTAATCGGCCAACCCTCGCTTTGAGCGAATATGATGAAGTTCTGAAATGAAATTGCGTTACTCTTCCAGCAATTATTCCTATGACTAAATAAAGGTCCAAAAGGCGCGTAATTTGACAGCTGTATCTGGATTAAAGGAGTTTTTATCGTATTTTGACATTATGTCCTTATTTTCCAGAGTCAAATTCAACTTACTAATATGTGTTTATGTATTTATTCGTTTAACATACTGTGACAAAATGGTCTTCCAGATCATTTTTTTTTTATTTCAGTCATCCCGACCTGAATCCATTACCATCTTCTTTAAGATTTTCTTTTGTTATCAAACTAATTATTTGTCACTTTGATTACGGAAAATCACCTCTTGAACATTTACACCATTAATGTGTTAGTGATGACATAAGGAAGTTAAACCATATTTATAATAAAACTCTCAGGGATTGTACAAAAATTTAGATAATCGAATACTGTCTGCATGCTTATACCTTCGACAACCCCACCAGCAGTGCAGCAGACAAGGCTGGTGAAGATAACGGTCAAAATGAATGACGACAACATGTTGGCTGTACGGTGAGTCTGGTCAACTGAAAAATAAATATGAATATATAAGATAAAATGAAATGATGTCAATAGCAACCTGGGGTCACGTTTAGTATGGTTTTTACCCAAATATGTTTTAGCCTTATTCAACCGCTGGAAATAGACGTTGGTATCTGTCTATACGAGAGTTCTTGAAGGGATTGACCCAACTAAAAAAAGCGGGAATATACCTAGATGAATTAAAAACACACTGATCTTCTTGTAATATCCAAACTACATAATGCAAGTCACAGTACCGGTAAGCCTATGTTGTGGAGTTGAGTGGTAAAGAAATGTCTGGTGAAGAACGTATTGTATTTCACAACTACATTATATCTATGCTGACAAAGAGAACCAAGACCTTATGCAAAATACTAACGTTAAAATGAAAAACCTTGTGGTTTTGCTGCCACGGTTAGATTTAAATTAGCCACAAGGATTTCCTAATCGTGTCTTGTGAAAAACCTACATTATTCTGTTTACTATACAATTATACCACTTATCGTTTGACACTGGAAAGCTTATAATAGCACTGGGAGAACTTTTTAAAGAAGAAATGGGCGATTTATTCCATCAGAATACTCCATTTGTGTATTTTTCATTTAATATTCCAAATGCCGATCTTGAAATACCATTCAATGAGAAAAAGGAATATCAAATGACAATTTTTTTACTTTGATTTACTTTTGATTCCACCCCTAATCCCAAACAACTGCACGGGCTAACTATAAGAGTATGGATTCTCTTTTTTAACTTTTCGTATATGCTCAAGCTGCTCTTTGCAATTTGGTCCCACCTTGTTTATGCAATCTTGTATCAACTTACGGACACCACCCCCGGACCAGCTGACCATCCACTCTAAACACCTTTTAAAACTTAACTTGTCACATATGGTGACAATTCTTTTAAAGTCGCTGCTCCAAGAGAATGGAATTTACTTCCACTTTTACTATGAAGGATAGATTCTCCAGCTTCTTTTAGAAGGGGGTAAGGATATCTTTTTAATTATAAATAAATTTTTTATATAAAGTAGTAACATTTTTAATTTCCACGATAATTTGTTTGCAAAATGGAATTTACGATGCAAATGATGTACTGATTAAAATTTGAAAGGATTTGAAGGCTTTTTCCAAACTTGCTGGAAACTTAGATGGTCTCGCAAATTTTTAGCAAATTTGCAGTAACCACTTTTTTTTTGCAACAACCTGCAAACAGTTTCTAGCAAACTCTTTTGTTTGCAGCAAATTCGCAGCAAATTATTCATTAGCTTGCTGCAAACTTTTCAGGGGGGGGGGGGGGGGACCAACGCGTCATTGATAATGAGTGCTTATTTTATGTGTCCAAATTTCAGTCCTTTCAAACAGTGCACTGTAAAATGTAATTGTTATTTTGTCATAAAACATCTGTCAAATGCACAAAAATTGTTGCACTGATCATGAATGATTTCTTACAACGCACACAAATAGCTGGTAGTACTGTACGTAGAACTCAAGTCACAATTTATAATTAAGTGACATATTTTAAGGCAGCAAACAACCAAAACTCACCTGATTCAGAAAGACTGGCGTTGAAACAACCTAAGGCAAGTCACGCCAAGGAATGAAATATTTTTCACCTCGATCATGGTTTTTAATAAATATTCTGTCACCATGTGACATATTTGAAAGTAACCAATCACGCTCGGTTTAACATGCATTTAAATCGTGGCAACATAATTTTCTACTACCCTTCCTTTACCTTTAGGATATGTCACCTGTTACTATTTTTGTCGCATAACAAATGGCAAGGGGCTTGTTTGAAATTATGTATATGTAATTTTTCTGTACCACAAATGATGGATTTATTTATTAAATCCCACGCATTATGTATCCGTTCAATGAAGCACCATCCTACCTGCATTTACCGGTATTTTATGCGGCATATAGGCCTACAGGCTGTGAAAAACATAATACCCTGCATGTCAGGCTGTTACAAAAGAATATGAAATAATCTCAGGTGAATCTGCATGCGAAAGATATTCACCCCCTTAGGTTTGTAACCTTTAGACATGTGCATGAACATCTTGTTAATCATTTGGTAAATAAGCTATTTTCATAGCAGACATTAAGGCACCTTATAAAGCGCGAACGAAGACATCCCTATTAACGTCATGTATACTAGTACAGTGTATGTACATGTAGGCGTTTAGTGTATGTAGGCGTATATTTATTTATTTATTTAACTTTATCTAACGAGGGTGAAAACATGGTAAACATAAAATTCATCTTCACCCATGGCCCTCATGAGGTTAGACAACAAATAATACATCTATTACACAAGTAAATGATAATTAACGATTGTGTTTAAACTATCAACATAACGCAATATCTTTTTGTACGAACTTGTACAGGTACATGATGTTTTTTTTTTCTTACCGGACTGAGACACATATACTCAGCATATTTGAATGCTTACCCAAATGTTTTTATAAAAGGTGGCCACCTCAGGGTATATTGTTATCCTGAACTCAGGGTTCGGTGTGTGTGTGTGTGTGTGTGTGTGTGCGCGCGTGCGCGCACAAGCTAGTGCACACTCCAGCACGTATCAAAGGTGAATCCATATAGGTTCGTTGGGATTTTTTTATCAAACACCCGGTGTCATGAATGATAATGATACACATGTAGCTGATGTGGGGTCCGGTTCCCATTGATTTTACAGGTAAGCGCTGTCCAAGGTTATAACACATTTACGCCATACGGATTTTACAGCCATTTTTGTTCCACAGTAGAGACCTACAGCTAGAAGTCATACATATAACCATTGATTGGCCTGGTGACATTAAATTTATTTATTTACTAGTAGAATTTGCACTGTCCATTTTTAAGTGATTAATGTAAAATGGCTGCCATGGTAATTAGACAATCCCGAAACCAAAAATGACAATTTCACTTAATAGACTGTAGGCCTACTATTTCCCCATTTTTTTCCAGCAAGGTGTTTAAAGGAATTACTTCTGTGTTTTCTAAAAAGTCACGTTTTATTCATCATTTGCACGCAATAGTAGTTATCTAAGTCCTATGTGGCAACACTCCCAACTCAAGAGTCACATCAATCACTGGTCAATGTTAGTAGGGCATAAATTAGCATTTTTAATGATTAAACATCATATTTAATTTAGAGATCTTCTCGGCTTCAACTTGGCCATTATGTTAATTCATTGGCATTCGTTCACCACATAGTTTGTATTTTTTGGGGGAGGCCAACAATGAATTATAGGGCGTATTCCCAGAGCTTTTAGATCGATCTATCCCCGCGGGGAGTCTCACTAGATAACTGTCAGATAATCCGGCTTAAATGTCCGTCCCGCCTACTACAAGCTGTAAGGGGGTAATTAACTTTCGTGCCCGCTCGGCTGATAGCTATTTAGCGTGAACCCCAAGGGAGTTAGGTCGATCTAACGTAGATCGATCTAATCTCTGGGAATGGGGTCATAGGGCCTACTTCCTCAGACTTTCGATGCAAAGTAAAATGAAAAGCAACAATGCTCCCATAAATCAATAGTAAATCATGAAGACCATTTAGTTATATATAAGTGATAAATGCCCCTTCTCCTCAAGCTGTATATGTCTATATGCACAGAGACTCATCTTAAACATTACCTGGCGAATCGTAGGCCTATTCTCTTTCGTCCTATTTAGGAACATGTAAAAGATGTACTTGAATGTGTGTTTCATCACAGCATTTTTTTCTTTGCTTGATTTTTTATGTGGATTTATTTTAAAGGAATGCAGTCTTACCACCAGCTTTTACACTGTACAAAGAATTTCAATGAAGAAAATTTCAGTTTTAATTGCGATTAATCATTATAAATGAGGCAACAAAGACACCACTAGAATGCTACAGTGAGTGTGTTTACTAATGTAATGTACCTGCAGCCTAGGGACACTGCTGCAGATTATGTGCTTACTACAGTGTATGTACACAGTATGATTTTTTTGTTTTCATATTTCACACATTCTCCATAAAAAGCGCCTAAATTGAAAAATGATAAAGCTGAAACCATCAAACTAATCAAAACTGGTTCAGTATTTTTTAACCAAATTCACCGAAAAATCACCAAGAGTTTTTTTTTTTATTTATTTTAGTTCACTAATGGGGCATGTTATACCGGTATATTAATTAGGAGCCAATCTGACTTTGGGCGCAGACCTGCGCAGACCACAATCTGTTATGGCACTCTACTGTGCCAGGAGTCTTGAAAAGTCAGAGTCGGTGATGACGTAACAAGATGGTGGACACGGGCACCTGTTTATCCCGGATTTTTGTAATTTTTTTAGTTTTTGTCCCTACAGCACAGGAGAATAAAGGCGGACTGTATTCAGAAAATGGCCCTGTGACAGTTCTCACAGGCTCAAACTTTAAAGACACTGTCCCTAACTCTGATAACACATGGATGGTGGAATTTTACAGCAGCTGGTGTGGACATTGTGTACGGTTTGCGCCGACTTATTTGAAAGTGGCACAGTTTGTGAAAGGTAGATAAACTTTATGTGTCGTGCTACTTTGATTTCTTTGCCTTTTTCGTGCAGAAAATGAGGCAATGTTTAAATCGATTAATTTCCTTTGATTTGGTGTGCTTCCCACTGAGCAATATTGTTTTGTAGTGCTACTAGTAATTTATGATTGATCACGTGTGATTTCAGTCACGTACCGTCCATATAAAACATACCACCATTTTGTATTATGCTCTGAGCGAATAAATCCACATAAGCAGTATAAAATGATGTATTATGACTGTTTATTGCTGGTACAGCTGTCTCATTGTTTTACACTGTGCATCTTTTGGTAGCTGGTAAGGCATATCATGTACATGTGCCTTGTACTAAACTTTTCACAGTACCCCAGTAGGTGATACAGTTTGTGAATGCATTAGCGACAATACATAATTTTTACATTATCCATAGGCCCAGATATCAGAATTTATCATTTGATGTTAACAGTAAGATATGACATTATGGTTTTGATAAGAATTTCATGTTCCTGTATCTCATCATTTAAACTGGGAACATTATTTGAACTGCTGTAAGCTGCTATATAGATAATTTTTCTGATGACAGTGTATTTGTACGGATCATAAAGGTTGAAGCAAATTTGAAAATCCATTCTGTTGTACCTAATAACTAAATATCAATAATATGTTTTTCTGCCCCCTCCCCAACCCATGTCAGTTTACTTTTTAATTTATGCTACATAACCAACAATATTGATTTGTTGGTAATAACATGGAAAAGATTGGATAATACATTTTTAACTTTTGAAAGACAGAAACATTTAAGAAATTCCACTTGAGATGAATATACATGGTTGTGCAAAGAAATATTTTTTACTATTTTATCTTTTATCTTCATAGGCTGGCGGCAAGTGATAAGGGTAGGTGCAGTTGACTGTGCTCAGGATTACAATACAGCTCTCTGCAAAGAATATGGGATTGATATGTATCCCACAATTAAGGTGAGTGGAAAATATATTGACGTGAATGAGATTTAAATTTAATTTGATTTAAATTAAAAATAACAAAAGAATTATGAAATTAGCTAACTGGACATGTGTGTTGACATTTGAAGTTTGAATATGACATACAGATGAAAGTGGACAAGGGGAAAGTTGCTTATATGTATTGTAGAGTGTCAACAAACATCATTTGTCAATGAACACCCTACAGTATTTAGCTGTAGCTTTCTTAAGAACTTGATAATGTCAGAAGTATATTCAATGTAAAAATATGGATATAAGTCTGTAAAGATTTAATGCGCACAATTATATTATGGATTTAGCAAACTTGGAGGATAGAGCTTCAAAATCTTGGTGAGTTGTTGCACGGGCAATATAGTGTAGATAAATAGTGGTGATTGGAAATAGTGGTGTGTCAGCAGTCCTTGTAGTCAATCAGCCCGTCTTTATAAATATAATACATGTTAAATGTCATTATATATCTTTTTGTTTGAGGTGATAAAGGCTTCTTGAAGGCAGGTGTCATCATGCTGGATGATTTCAAACTGGTTCTGTTTTAAGCTAGGACAGTAGAGATTGCATTCAAAGACATAAAGATATTAGTTACAATGTGGAGGAACATGTGAAAAAATGCATGTTCTACACCCCACAATTTTTACTTTTTTTTTTTTTTTACTATAATTCAGAAGTGGATTTTGATTCATAATATAGTGTGAGGAATAAATGTGAATTTTTAAATGTTTTTTGGTTCTCATTTTAGTTCTTCGACTTACATTCCAAAAGTGGAGACCTTGGCAGGGTTTTTAATGGCAGTCAAGATGACCAAACTATACGCCACGCTATGGTGGACCACATTAACAGACAGAGAGATTTAAAATCCAAGTGGCCTTGGCTTCTGCCAATAAGGTAAGGTGTTTTTGTTAGTGGGCATTTTTCTTATATGAAAATTCATTTTCACTTGTTGAATTTGTACTTTTTATGTAAGATCAATTGAATATGAATTAGAAAATAAGACTGTCTTGATCAGATTGTGATAATAATAATTATAATTAATCTCATTTCTTGCTCTGTTTTTAATCATAATCACTCTGTCTTGGAGTAATAAAAATAAATTGATGTTTCAGGAGTATGCAGAGTGTCTGGAAAGATCTTGGAGATACAGAGAAGGATCAGAAGATGGTGACGGCTGTATTGTTTGAAGAAGAAGGTTCATATGTTGGGCAGGAGGTAAGAGCACACAGAGAGGTCATCATGCTGTCTTTGGCTGTATTCCCAGAGCTTTTAGATCGATCTATCCCCGCGGGGAGTCTCACTAGATTGCTGTCAGATAATCCGGCTTAAATGTCCGTCCCGCCAACTACAAGCTGTAAGGGGGTAATTAACTTTCGTGTCCGCTCGGCTGACAGCTATTTAGCATGAACCCCCAGGGAGTAAGGTCGATCTAAAGTAGATCGATCTAAAGTAGATCGATCTAATCTCTGGAAATGGGGTCTTTGTTATTGATGAATGTCTTCCAAGACAATTTAAAAACCTCCAATTCTCTTCTGTCAATTAATTCCCATCTTGTTTTTATATGGAAAAGGGATGAAGGTATTTGTAATTTATATAGATATACGTGTGTTGTATTTG